GCGGAGATTTTCCCACCCGAGCAGATTCCCCTTCCTTCTGTGCACCCCGGCCGGGCTCCAGGTCTGATGTCCGACCTCCAAATATCCTCTGTCTCCTATCCACAGAGGATGCTGGAAAGGTGAAGACAGCAAGTGAAATGCTTAATGGACAAACCTCCGAGAAGGGAGGACGTGTCCTCTTCCCAGGGACAAGCAACTCTTCAAGCTGGATTTTTTTTGCAGTTGCTTCTTTTGTTTTAAGCCCCGCCAAGAGAATCAATATATCCAAATATACCAGACTTCTCCCAGAGTCCCTTCACTGGGTTGCTGCTGATGTATAGACAGATGATCTCATGAGACCTCTGCCACATTAGGCCACCGTGTCTCATCTATCTTAAGTGCATATACGAGCTGTGATTACTACCGCGTCTGAGCGCCTCACGTCTTGAATGTAGTTATCCTCCCATCAGTCCTGCCAGACAAGGGACTGCTATTATACCTCTTCCAGGGAGGATCCGGAGGGCCATGGAGGTTAAACAGACTGATCGCTGAGGATATTCGGGACGTGGCAACGCCAGGACCCTCCGAGCATCTCCCCTGTCTCGTGCCTCTGCCTTGCTCAGACTCAGCTCTGAGCTCAGACTCAGCTCAGGACTCTGGCTCCACATGGGATGTAGCTTTCAGCACCCAGCCTAATCCTGAGATAAATGAGGGATTCCCACTATAAAGACCTCTCGATCAGACATCTTACAAGTAAACACACCATCAAGCCAAACCATAATGTTTCCTACCCTGGCAGCTACTGTCTTAAGCCTTACACCAGAATCCATCACACTACAGCAATACTTGAAAAGCAATTAGACAAAACCATGGCAGGGAAGTCCATCAAGGGTCGTTAAGGATGACGACTTGGATGCAGGCTCTGGCTCAGGACCTCTGCGTGTGGCAGACCAGTGCCGGCGAGGCAAACGTGCCAGCGAATGTATCCGTGTGCTCACACCTAGTTTTTACACCCTTTCCCCGTGGCCCGTCACGGCAGGATAACCGCTCTTGTCGTCTGACCACAGAGCCCTCGTTATCATTACTGCGAAGCCGTGCCTGCTCCTCCTGGGACACGAGGCTGCCGAGGGAGAGCCCTCGCTTCTGTTCCTCGGCACGTTTTCCGAGCTTAACGGGAGGCATGCCGAGCCTCGTGCCTGCAGCACCGATAAACATCCCCCGCTTAGCTCAACGCGGTGCCGCTCGCTCTGCTTTGGCGTCGCCCTGCGCCCGGCAGCTCGGGACGCCGCACTTTTTCCTAGCTGAGAAATCCCAGACTTCATCCCCCGAGAGATGAAAACTGGCCTGACAACGCGGGAATCGCCATGACAACGTCAGAGTTAACCCCCCCAAAGTAAATAAAAAGCCCAGTAACTATGGAAACACCTGAGTGACCAAAACCAGACTTATTAACTAGAAGACCTCTCCGCAGTTTACAGACAGCATCGGCACCGTGAGGCTGGGGACCGTAAGACACCCGAAGCCTTGGAAACAAAGAGATGCTCGGCACCTACGGGCGCAAACACCAGTGTGCGTGGGCACACACAACCCCACCGGCCAAGTCCTCCGCGCAACCTCCGCCTCCTCTGGAAAGATGCTGCTGCCTCCATGCTGGATGTTATACCCGGACCATGGTTATCTACATCCCCCTCTCCCTCTCTGCCTTCCTTCCTCCTTTCACCCTTCTGAGGACGCCTCCCTTGACTCCTGTCCTCACGGTGGTGGCACCACAGGGGTGCCAAGGGGGGGATGGAGCCACCCCAACACATGCCACCCCATCACACGCCGGAGCTCGGCTTCCCGGCATGGTTTCGGTGAGCTGTGTTTTGAAGCCGTGGTGCCTGGCAGCTCCGGTGGCTGTCGTGCTGCTGTCTGGAGCATCCCAGCCCACGGCAGAGCCCCAGAGCCATTAAGCCTCCTCCACCAAGGCTGTGACTACACCAGCTCCCCCTTCTCAACCCACTCAGCTGCATTAACAGGAGCTGCCGTGGGTTAGGACAGCGTGACTGGGAGAAGAAATAAAAAAGGACAGAGAAGGGTGAGGCAGAGGGACGGAAGATAGGCTGTAGCCCATCTTGGTTGGACTGGCCACACGTTCACAATATCCTTCTCCAGAGCCAGCATCCTGCTTTTGCTCGCGGCAGGAGGATGAGGATGGGCACAGGTAGGACCAGTCACCATTCAAGGCTCCGAGCAGCGACGGGGCCACTAGCAGAAGCCTCTTCTCTTGCTTAGGTTCACTCAGTTCTTGAGCTATGCAGCAAAAATGCTCTCCTCCTCCCGGCTGCAGAGAACTCTTCCAGCCCCCAAACCAAACGGAGAGCCTCAAAACCAGGCTTAGTGGCTTCCATAACGAGGCAAAAACTCAGCAGAGCTTACCAGACCAAGCTGAGAAACACATATCGCACCGGACCAGAGCAACGCAAGGGTGAAGAAAACAGCCGAGAGGTCAAGGGAGCTGGGAGAGGCTGGAAAAGGGTCTTGAGTGAGATCAGTCACCGAGGAGCTGGGCTGCTCTCGGTGTAAATCCTCTGAAGGACCCGACCGCCCGCTCCCCCGGTGAGCAAACACTCTTATTTGCTCCATTTCCCACCAAGAGCCGCACAGTAGGCTTACAGCTGCCAAGAAAATAATAAAGCCCGTGAAGTGCCTTTGCACGGAGGAGCGCTCGCCAGCCTAAGCGTGGGGACCGGCTCCTTCAGCTACCGGTCCGTCCGTGCCTGGCACAGACAGCGCGATCAAAGCCTCTCCCCAGCGACCCCGGTGAGAGCCGCTTACCCACCCCGCTATGTAAACCCTTAAATTATGCACCAGCTTCCCCTTAACCAATTCTCCCCGGTCCCTTTTCTCCACCGCTCCAAGCGGGAAGGAACAGGAGGCGGCTCGCTCGAGGCTTCCCCGGGGATGAGCGGTGAGGCGGACCTACAACCGAGAGGGGCTGGCAGCTAGCTTTGGGGCCCCGCTCGCTCCTGGCTCTCCAAATTGAGAACATATCCGACCAGGGAAAGGGTTACCCTCTCGGCATCTGCTCTAGCACTTCCATGCACCTGCCGTGGCTCTTATTCCAGTCCCCCTGCTCCCAGGCCTCGTCTATGCGCGCCGAATGCAAAATGGAGAAGCAAATGTCCCCTTCGGTGGTTTGGCAGAGCCAGAGAGAGAAACAGAGGAGCTGCCTACAGAGATGGGCAGCCACCAAACTTGTCTCAGGCCACCTCTGGGCTCAGCACCCTCCATCAGCAGGAGGCCAGATTCAAGTAAATCTCTGTGATCATTTGTTCCCTTTGAGTTTTGAAAGCAGAATGCCTAATCATGGCCAAAATCAGGTAAGAGCTGCTGCTGCAAATTACACAGCGCCACAGGTAATTTCTGATTAGCTCACTCTTCCTCTCCTGGTGCATCCTCAGTTTCCATAGCAGCTAAGTCCTAAGTAAAATGGAAACATCTGGTTCAAGTGCAGGTAAAGGTTCCCTGGGGAAAGAAACCTGCTGGATGGCAGCAAACACAGAAAATAGCTCTCGCGAAAGAGAGAGGCATCGTAAGCCGGGAGGCTGGTTAGGAGAGGATGGATGGCGTGCGGGAAAAGGCAGCGAGGGGCATAGGAGCGGGAGAGGAGGGTCCTGGGGGAGCGGGAGGGGACGCGGGAAGGAGAGCAGGGCTGCGGGGACAGCGAGGTGCATGTGAAAAACAGGCACTGAGGCGGGCGAGCAAGACAAAAACACGGTCAGGGTAGATAAGGGGAAGAGGAGAAAGAAGAAAGGGCTTCAAGGTGGGAGCACGTGGACCGCCACAACCATAAATGCCGCCTGATGGTGACGGATACGATGACAGCAACTTTGATGCCATGGATGGATGCTCGGGGCCAGAGAGGAGCACACGGATCTGCGCCCTGCGTTTCATCATTCGTCCGCGCACAGACCCCGACCAAAGGCCACTGTCTCGGAGGAACGACTACCTAAGGTGCAGGAGCCAACACGTGCACGAGGGGAACGTTTTTTCCAGAGGCTCCTGTCAAGGGAAAGGGCTGGGATGCCGCCGACTCAGCTCGCTCTCTGCCTGGGCTATGGAGAGTGATGGATCTGGCCCAGCAGCTCGCTACAGCGCTGACAAATAGCAAAAAATCAATGGAGCTGCACCGAGACACCGCAGCCATCGTCAGGCAGCTGAACGGAGAGAGCAGACACGGAGCCATCCATCACTGCTGCCGTGGCGGCGTCTCCTTGGGCCGCCGGACAGCCCGGCCGGGGCGTCCCCAAGGAGAACTTGAGGCAGTTGTCTGGGACGACAGCCCACGTTGGCCAAACCTCAGGGGAAAAAATGGCTGAGGTTGAACCGAAGCGCTTAGATGGGAACAGAAGATCAGAGCCAGGCACCGCCCCTTGGCCGGATGGCTCATCCCCCCCGCAAAACCCCCAGATCTCACCCCCAGCTCGGCACTGAGGACCTGGGAATAAACAGGGCAGCAAAACGCAAAGCAAATGCCAAAAAAAGAAACTGGGAAACTGGTTTGAAATAACATGCTCCCGAACAGGCACGTATGGGAATTTGCTTCCCAGCAGTCACACCCACACAGTTCTACTCAGGTTTTGCTTACCAATTAACAAGGCCACCAATTAATGCTTTGTGTGTTTTCCTGCTCATTTGCGCTATTTACAGTCCTCCTTTGATGCAACGTGCAAGAATTCCCTGAAAACTTTTTCAAATAGGGTCGGACAAGCACATTCAATCCCTAAGCACGACAACCCAACCCGGCACCGACTGCCAGTTCTCCACATGAGCAAAACCGTAAGCTCCTCTCCCAGACCACCAAGACGGGTGCTTCTCCACCAGAGCCACCAACTCCTGCATTAAGTCACGCCTTTTTGGGGCACATCAGCTTCTCTTTGCAAGTTAAGTGCCACATAAACCAGGCAGCGACACCTCCCCAGCCGCTCGCAAATGGCGCTGTGCCATTTTTGAGGAATATTTCTGGTAACATCTCTTACCTTTGGGCGAGATGTGTCTCCAGGTGATCGTTGGATCTGGCCTGCCCGTGGCTATGCAGGTGAGGCTGACGTTGCCGCCCTCGTTGATGGAGATGTCAGAAGAGATCTCGGTGATTTTCGGAGACACTGCGGTGACACAAAGAGGGAAATGAAAATGCAACCGGTTCTGCTCCAACTCCATTCTCAAAATGTGGGCGAGGGAGGCTGAGTTTCCCTCCTCCCTCTACCTCGACAAACTATGCAATAACCCATCAGTCTCATCTGACTTGACGGGAACACACAGGGGAAAAGTGGGGGCAGAGAAGACGGGGCTGAAGCGGGAAGAAATTGTAGCCAGAGGGGATTTAAGTCATTTTAGGGACGCTTGAGACAGCTCCTGCATGGTGTGTGAGACGGTCCTTCTTCCCCACCCTGCTTCCAGTACTCATCCTGTCCTCCCAGCCCTGACGAACCCTTTCCAACAGAGCTGCATCCTACTGAGAAAACACCATCCTCCCCCTTCAAACTCCCCCCAAAGGCGGCAGTCGCTCCCGGCGTTAACAAGAACACCCAAAGCATGAGTGTGGCTTGCGGCTCTTCCTGCAGGCTCTCAGTGATGCCCCTGCAACCAGAAAAGCATCAGGAGGAGCACGAAGATGCCAAGTCGACCGAGGAGCCGCTAAGGTCTCCCACCGTGCAAAGGGAGGGAAGCTCAATCGGGATGAAAGCCATCCCACTGCGCTGGGGGATGCCATCACCAACGCTGAGGAGGGGGTCAGATACGAGGGGCCCGGACCCGAAGAGAGGACGCACGTACAGGACGGGGGGGGGGGGGGTGGTGATAAGGGGGGCTGGGAAGGGGTGAGGAACAAGCAGGGAGCACTCAGCCCCCGTTGCTGCGCGAGCAGAAGACGCGCTGCGGCTGCCAGGGAGGGCTGGGGTTTCTCCAAGCTCTATGGCAGGGCTGTACAAGAAAAACGATCGGCTGCTGTTATCAGCCTGCACCTGCAGAACATAATAAAGACCATCACCTTCCTCGGTTTATTTTTTTTTTTTCCCAGGCCGTTCTCCAGAGCCTAGCAGCAGATTGGCACCCTGCTGCGGCGCTTTGCAGGAGAGTCACAAATCACTTGCAAAGCATCCTGCTCCTGCCACCCTCCCTGGGCGAGCCCCGTTCATCGACTCGCTTGAAGCTGCAGCCCAGACCGTTGCAAAACCCCCTAATTCCTGACTTGGACCCCACGCCCCAGCACCCTTTCCCTGCCTCTCCCCACCTCCCACACCTTCCCGGGGCTGCGCCGAGCCGGAATGACTGCAATGGCCTTGCACGCATTGCCTCTGCTGTGCAGGTAAGTAATTTATTGATCCGTAAAGCACTCCAAGACGCTCTGGAAGGGATTATGTCATGCCAGTGCCGTGCAATAAAATAAAAAATGATGGATTTTTTGTGAACATGAGGGTGATTTAGGGTTTGTAGTTGGAAGTGTAGTTAAAGTACATTTTAAGTGGAAATCAAGGTGGGTAATGAATTATTCTCTGTTTTGAAGGGCTTCTGGGAGTTCATTTTTTTGCTGCTCTGGGCACGACGGCTAATCTGCTAATCACGCACCGGAGGACAACTACGGATCAGATGCTCCCAGAACAGTTGGGGCTCTGGGGCAGGTCAGTGGAGGGCAGGAAGATGCCACCAAAAGAACTATTAATATACATCAGTGTTATTAAGCTCAGCGTAAGGGGACAGCACAGGTCTCCTGGGACCACCCGCCTGGACGGAGCTGGGAGATGTTCTGCCAGTAGCCGGGTAGTCCATTAAGGAGATGCAATTAATTGCAACAACACTATGCTTGCCCCGCTGTGCTCCTGGCGAGGCCGGGACCGCTAGCCAGGAAAACCACGTGTGCTTTAAATAGACCGAATTTACAGTCTGGACAACAAAAATAGGCCAAGGAGGTATTACCATTGCCATTTTAGAGAGGTGGAAAGAGACAAGCGGAGGCGCAGTGAATTGCCCGCCGTCGCCCGGGAAGAAGCAATAGCTTCCAGCTGTAAGTCCTGACAAAACTAGAGCAATATCTATCACCTTCGATGCGATGCTCGCTAAATCACAGAGGAACCTTTCTTATGTTTTGAACTACTGAAACCACATCAACCCAGTTCAGCTTGTTTTGCAGAGCTCACTGAGACAGAAAAAAAAAAAAAAAAAAAAAATCAAGTCAGACTTTGCACCGCGACACGCGGATTTGCACCCGCCCAGGCGAGAGACGAAAACCTGCAATCAGACAAACTGACCAGATTCTAAAACGTAATTAAAACAAATTCAACTTGGATTTCCCGGAACACGAGCGTTACATCCTCCTCCTCAGCAATACAGCAGGAGATTGGAATTTTGCTCAGACCAGGAAGAGGAGGAGAGATGACTGTGTTGCTGCTTGGCTGGGCGATGGGACACGTTGCAACTCTCTCGGACAAGTGCAAAAGCAGCTCGAGCACCGGGGAAAGAGCCCACTGTGCCCTGGCGAGCTCGGGACACGCTCGGGGAGAGGCGATCTGTTACGGCCCACCCAGGACGAGATGAGGCAGGAATGGCTGGGAAGTAAACCAGAGCGACAATGTCAGTGAATACGTAGGCTAACCCTTAAATTAAATGTGCAGTGGTAGGATTTAACACGACAGTTATTGTATGCTAATTAAACGTTTGAATAATTAACCACATGAACTATTTAAAATGCCTTTCTGGAGACTGAACAGGTATGTTGTAATGCTTTAACCACACTAGAGAGGGAAATCTTAATAAATAAGTGATCACAAGTATATGTTTAATATTATTTAATGGTCACCAGTGCTCCTGTTCCCTCTGCATTAGAACGTTTTCACCGTCAGCTGGCATTTCTGCTGCAGTGGGGCAGAGGAGAAATTTCTTATGCTGAATGCGGGACGCAGATGGAGCTGTGCCCCTATGGGAATGAATAAATAAATAAAGCTAAATAAATGCAGGCTTCCCAGGCGGGAACCCTCTCCTTGCGGGCAGTCCTTTTGTGTTCAGCATCTCTCTTGCTCAGAAGTGATTAAACATGGCAGTGTTGGCCAAGCTGCTCCAGTGACACAGCACAGATTTCCCCAGAGGCGGGCTGGTGTTTTATCGATCTGACTTCTTTTTTTTTTCCCCCTATCCTTGCCGTGATGATGGGAAAGGTCTCTGGGCTGCTCTCAGCTGCTGTAGCCCCCCCTCCCCGCCCCCCCAGGTGCTCAAGGCAAGCCCCCATTTTGCCCGGACTTGGCACCCGCTCGCACACGCGGAGTCCCCGGGACAGAAAGCAGCTTGCTTAAATATTTAACTAAACCATATGGTGCGTTACACGTTCGAGGGTGTTCAGTCAGGTGATATATGTCTTTACAGATTCAAGCATATGCGCTTGCCTACACAGATCTATTCCCTGGCACGCAGACACCCTCCTGCCACTAGCACAGACTACATCCCTGCTTTGCTTTCACCTCCAAACACCCGTCCCAGAGCCAGCACTGGCACAGAACCTCACACCCTCCATGCAGGTACCCCTTGGCCCTGCCATCTCCTATCATCATTAATTCCCCATCCATCTTCCTTGCGATGACCACGCTGCTTGCCTGGGCTTCCCTCTCCTCGCCAATGTCTCCTGATGCACCCCTTGGCGTGGCTGGGCTCCTTGGGCACCCCAAATTTCAGCCACACACCAGGCAGGAGGCCCCTGAGTATTAGGGGAGTGTGAATCTGGAGCAAGCTCTCCACCAGAGTCAAGGAAGGAGACTTTTGATGAGCCTCACCGACTTGGGTGCCTTCAAGGAGTAATTGCATTTTTATGCCTTAAGCACCTCCTTTCTACCCAGTTTTAGGAGCCAAGCAAGTATCACAGAAAGACACACGTGACCTTTCCAGACCTTTGAAACCCTTCTCATAGCCCCCAGCAGCAGCCTGCGAGCGAGCAGGCTCTCCCGGTAAGCCTGGCAAGCACCTTGCTTCCCCCTCATAAAACATGCAAACCTCCCTCCTTCCAGCAAGAGCAACATCTGCTCCAGATCAAAGGAAACACCAAAGAACAACTACAGGAGTGTCTCGAAGACAGAAGAAGAGGGGGATTCAGACTTGCGTTCGGCAGGCGACCTGTGATGCGCACTGGCAGCTTCCTGAACGTCAAGGGCTGCCGCTGCTCCTGCTTTTAATAACAGCCTCTTACCACTGCCTCCCACAGACCTCCCCGTGTTTTACAGAGCGCTGCTACCACGGGTCCTGCCTCTGGGGCTGGGCGAGGGGGGGACCCCCGGGGCCTTGAGGTGATGCTACAAGCCGGATCGAGCCCACGCTCCTGAGCCAGCAACGGAGGGGTCCACCAAAGCCAGCCGGGACCCCCCGACATCGGGGCTCCCCATCCAACTCCTCCAGGCTGTAACCAGAGCGGTTTAGCTTCCTCCAACAGCAGTGCTGCGCTACCAGGCCCCTCCACTGTGCCTTCTCCCTCTTTTGTGTTCAAAACCTTTCTGCCGTTTTAAGGAAGGCAGAAAGCAAATTGAGAGACCTGCACCTTCAGTTACAGGCGCATTGTTTTTAAATCTGTTTGTGCCGCTCTAACACAACCATAATTAAGAGAAGAGCAGAGAGGGCTTCATCCTTCCATCACATCAACACAGCTCGGGAGCCGTACTGAAGAAGACCACGGGGTGCGAGGAATGTCAAACATGGCCTTAGAGCCTTCTTCCAGCTCCCCCCCCGCCTTGCACACAAACCCCTTACAGTTACAGGTGCCGATCCCACCCCCCGGGGCTGCCTCTGCCCTGGGTTTGCACCCTCACCCCCCTTCTCCCACTGGCACGCCGGGTTCTGCTCCGCTTTGCTCCAACCTGGCAGCAGCCAAAGACACGAAGAAAGCAGCCTGGAAACAAAGAGGATGCACGTTACGGCCTTAATAAGCAATTAATAAATAACTAATGGCAATTGCTTGTTTTAAAGCAAGGCCTAATGAGATGTGTCATACAGCACCGAGATGTGTCTAAATGATTTCCTAAGCAGATAACGGCTCCTGTTGCAGCAAAGCTCTCCTGAGCTTGGAGGACACAAGATTTTTTACGCCCGTCTCTGCAGCACGGTTATACGGCACGGCATCATAATAATTCAG